CTGCCACATCGTCCCTCCTGCCACATCCTCCCTCCTGCCACATCCTCCCTACTGCCACATCCTCCCTACTGCCACATCCTCCCTCCTGCTACCCCTTCCCACCTCACCCTGTCATTAAAAGTTTCATGATTTTTTTTATTGATCTATGAGACGATTATTTAAAAACATTACTCCTAAAAAGTGGTGTTTGGTGCAATGGCCACCTGAGTCTGCAAAGACAAGTACGTATGAACTTAACCTACTCAGAGTTGGCCTCTTCGGTATTCAATATAATCAGTGCAGGCGCACCAGCAGATGGCTGCAGAGACTGGGTGGTTGATACATACCCCGAAGTATCCATCAACAATGTGCAGCGTGATCATAGAAGTGCTGCTGCTTTGGAAAGCTTTAAAATCAATATCAACTCAGGATCACAGAAGATTGGCCAACAGCTGATGAACTCTGAGGAGTGGAGCATTCAAGGGTGCCCTCACAGAGTTCCTGATGCAGGAGTTGTTGAAGCCAGAATACACTGTAAAGCTGGGGAGGCAAGCGCGGCCTCTTTCATTACTGTTCTATGTGCTCTGTCAAGCTGATGTGACAGCTCTCTCTCCCTTTTTAACCAGTGTACATTGAATCAAAATTCTACATTTATGTATCCCAGTTTATTTTACTTAATGTGTCGCAGAAAACCCAATGTTAGGCAAGCAATTACTCTCATGTATAAATACAGTAGGTGTCCTGTGTCAAGGAACAGATTACAGTATAAACACTTTTGTTCTGGACTCGATGCAAGTCTTTCCAGCAAAATCCAAAAATAAAATTTTTCATCAGATTGCTATATCAACGAGTACTGATACAGTACAGTGAACCCTCACTTTACGCGGTCAATTGAACCCACGGCGGCCCGCGTAAAGTGAGAAACGCGTAAAGTGAACAACATAACACATGGGATTAATTGAAATAGAGACCGGGCTGACCCCCAAACTCCACTTTTTCAGACACAATACCTACGTTGTAGTAAAAATAACTTCTTAATTTTATGATGGTATGCACACACAATTAATAATTAAGAGAAATATCAATAATATTAGGTTTTTTAACACTTACATTAGTAGAAAAGATGGCTGGGCACACGGGGGTGGGGGGTTGGTTCCGAGGCAGAGGGCAGATTATTGGCCCTCACCTGTATCACTTGTATCAATTGTATCACTATCCACCACAGAGGCTTGCAGGGCCTCTTTGTCAAACCCCTCAAAGTCCATATAAGTCCATATCCTCACTATCATTATCACTATCACTGACTTGGGCCGGCTGGTGGGTGGCGGGTGAAGAACCTCGGTAATGTTTTGATTTTTTTTTTTTTTTTTTTTATCCTCTTCGCCACTGATCGGCTTGTTAGCCGCAGGCGATCGGTCACGACTCTTTTTCCTTTATATTCTTCACCAAAAGTGCTCGCTAGCCATCCCGGGCGATCGGTCACGTCTCTGTCGCACTGTTGGCAAATACTGGGCATGCACCGGCTCCTGAATGTACCTGAACCCGCTCCAGTGTTGGTCAAGTCTTCTCTTGAAAGAGCTCACACTCGGTGCCGTCACAACACTTTCTGGTAGATTGTTCCAAGAGTTTACAACCCTCACTCCGAAAAAGTTTGCCCTCACGGTTTTCCGGACTTGCGGCTTCTTCAATCTTGAGCTGTGACCCCTTGTGGGGCGAGCGTCCGCCAGCTCCAAGTAAGGACACTCAACTGAGTAGTGCCCCCTGAGATGCTTATAAACCTCAACTAGGTCCCCCCTTGCCCGTCTGTAGTATAAGCTAGGCAAGTTCAGGCGCTCCAATCTCGCAGGGTAGCTGAGATGCCGAAGTGCAGGCACCAGCTTGGTGGCCCTCCTTTGAACATTTTCAACCAACTGACAGTCCCTAGCATATCTCGGGGACCAGATGGGGTGACAGTACTCCAGATGGGGAAGCACTTCACTCCTGAAGATCGTCACGAGGGACGGACCGTCTAGATATCTGAACGACCTTCTTATAAGACCCAATAATTTATTTGCCTGATTTACCTTCTTCTCACAATGGCCCGAGAACTTCAGCTCATTGTCAACATACACACCTAGGTCCTTCTCACACACAGTCTCAACTAGTACATTTTCTTCATCCCGTTGGGACATATGGTACGCCTCCTTACCGTTGGTACGCCCCAGGTGCATCCTCTTACACTTCGTGACATTGAATCTCAGCAGCCATTCCTTCGACCATTCCTGGAGCCCACAGAGGTCCTTCTGCAGCTCTTCACAGTCCGCTTGGTTCTTAATTTCCCGAAATAACTTGGCGTCATCGGCAAACATTTGTATGGAGGAGTGTACAACGTCAGGCATATCATTTATGAAACAAACAAACAACAGCGGGCCCAATACACTACCCTGCGGTACCCCACTTGTTACAGGTACAGATGACGATTTCGTGCCATTAATCACCACACATTGCTTGCGGTCATGTAGAAAGTCTTCTATCCACGCTAGGACATTTCCCCGAATTCCGTACCCTTCCAGTTTGATTTTCAGCCTTTCGTGGGGTACACTGTCGAAAGCCTTGGCAAAATCTAGGTAAATATTGTCGATATTACCACCCCGTTCTAGAATATGGGTCCAAATATCCAATACCTTGAGCAATTGTGTCAAGCAAGAGCGCCCCGGCATAAAACCGTGTTGGCAATCTTTTACAAGGTTGTTTCGTAGTAGATGTTCCATCGCGGCATCTCTGATAATACTCTCAAGTACTTTACATATTATGCTGGTCAGGCTCACCGGTCTATAGTTGTTCGTGGAGTGCCTATCGCCCTTCTTGAAGATAGGACTCACATAAGCCACTTTCCATTCACTGGGGACCATTTGTTCATCCAGGCATTTACAAAACAGAATCTTCAGGGGCTCTGCAAGCTCGTTGCACAGCTCCCTTAGCACTCTAGGATGCACCATGTCAGGTCCAGGACTCTTATGGACCTTTAGCCTGGACAGTTTATTTCTAATACCCTCTTCTGTGAACACAATGTGGGTCAGTGCTGTGTCGAACCGTCTGTCCTCAAACGCAGGAAGGTTAGTTGCATCCTCTCTTGTGAACACTGAGGAAAAGAAGCTGTTCAATGCCTCAGCTTTATCCTGGTCAGAATCTGCGTAACTACCATCTTCAAGCCTCAGGTCTGATACTCCTACTCGCGTTTTCAATTTCGACTTTGCATAGCGGTAAAACGCCTTTGGGTTTGACTTGACCTCGCGTGCAACCAGCCTTTGGAACTCCTTTTCAGCCCTCCTACACTCTATCTTTGCTTGGTTTCTGGCTCTTGCATACATCCTCCTGTCTTGCTCATCGTTTGACCCAACCCACGTCTTGAATTTCTGGGTTTTCTTCTTAATTTTGTCGACCGCCGCATGGTTCATGTGTAGGGATCCCCTCGTATTCCTAGAAGCACTGGGTTTGGTCTTGGGTATATATTTATCGATCAAATGGGTCATTTTACTAGTTATGATATTCAGCGTAGTGTCTGCGTTCTTGTACCTTAATAAGTCAGGCCAGTTGATACCCCTCATCTCTTCCCTCATCCCATTGTAATTTCCCTTGTAATATTTGCACCTTGGCCTGGCCTTATCTTGAACTAGGTAACAGTTAAATCTGAATGACAACACTGTATGGTGACTGGTGCCAACTGGGGCAAGGTGTTCCAGTTTGGCCACCATACCCTCCTCGTTTGTTATGATGAGGTCAAGTGGCTTGGGTGTTTGTTCCCCTCTGTAATGTGTCGGGTCTCTCACATGTTGGAACAGAAAATTATCTCTCAGAGTTTCTACAAAAAGAGTAGCAGGATTATTCAAGTCATTCGGGGTTGACTCGTTTCTCCAGTCGATGTCGCCATAGTTAAAGTCCCCCATGATAAGGAGGTGGCTGGGGTTGAGCATCGCCGCATTGTTTATTAAGGTTCTTAAGTTCCTTTGATTTAGTGGGCCACAGTTCGGGATCTGTAGATACACCCGACGATAAGTAAGTCCCCTCCCTTTAATTTAATTTTACACCACTTGGACTCTTCAAAGACATCCTCGGCCGCTCTCCGCATAAAAGGGTACACACACCGCGGAAAGTGAGCATTCCGGTTTCAGCAGGGTACCACGTAAACGTGGGAACGCGTAAAGTGGGACCGCGTAAAGCGAGGATTGACTGTACTGTACAGTATATGAAATGGGCAAATGGGCTGCAAAGGGTCTGGAATGAGTAATGTTTTGAAATCATAAGTTAATAAATCATATAATGATGAAAAGATCATCAAACTTATGATGGCTGGGGGGGGGGGGGCAGCAAAGTTCAAGATCAGTTCCAGGATTGTAGGGAATTAGAGTTGGACAAACTCTTCTACTTTGCAACACACTAGAGAATATCATTGTTCTATTAGATTCCAATACAAAGAATCAATATTCTGGTAACCTTGCTGTAACAGTCAAAACACTACAGTATCTAAGTTTGTACCGTTAATAATTTATTGTTTACCTAAAACTGTATGCATCTAGGTATTCCATTGTCTGATCAGGTATTAATGTGATATGACTTGCTGTGTTACTAAGAGATACTGTACTGGTAACTGCATCTGTTGTGCATTATAATACCTGTACCTCAAAGTTCTTTTACAGAAAGTTGTGTGTCTACACAATGATTATACCACTATAATGATCCTCTTAAGTACTGTACTGTACTGTACTGTAGAATAACGTATTTTTCCATGAGATAATATCTTTACAATTTCAATAAATCAAGCATCATTATCATTATAACTTTTGAGCCTATACAAAAAAATATATAATCTATTTCGCAGAGCACAAGTTCTCATCAATCACAAGTAGCATAGAGTACTGTCCAGGGAAGTTATTTACAGAATTTCCATTAATTTATAGCTACAGTACTTTTTTTTAACAAACTAGTTACAGTAGACAAACATCTCTACTGTACTTTGCAGTGTTCTAACTTTCCTCTCTTAGCCTACAGGTTGGTGCAGGAAGAAAGGAAGGATGGCATACACAGTCCCACCTGGGTTGGACTACCTAACTCAGCTCGACCAGGTGTTAGTGAAGCAGAAACACGAGATATTCGAGAGTAAGCTTCCAGTTGCTTGTTAAACCTGGTTCACTCCAGCTCGTTTTGATGGCCATCTTTGACATAGTACAGTATAGCCATTGATGACATCAAGAAAACAGTCATCCATTGTGATCAAACGGGGGAGTTAAATTATGAACAATGATAACCTTCACTGTGCCTTCTTCCTTGTAGCTACACATGGGATCCCAGCTCGGAAAAGAGAATGGCCATGGTAATTAATAATTGAGGGGGCACTTTGTGTTAAATTGTTCTTTATTTACCTAATGGCCACCCACTAGAGGAGGCCAGTGGCCTGTGTAGGATCCCTCCTTTGTTCTTGATAATTTTGTTTAGGGTTATTTTGAAGCCCAATGCTGTTCTTGATTCCCAGCTGAGTTGGCAGATTCAGAGGCTTTATGGAGAGAGTCAGATTGAGCCTGCTTAATTTTATTGATTCAATTTTACCCAAAATTATCATTTACTTTTTATTTATTATTCATTAAGGTTAAGTTGGACTCGTTCCTACAGAAAATAAATTTTCACCTTTTCACCATTAGAAGAAGAGTAAAACAATCTCCGGAAAACAGGCCTTCTCTACAGTGGTGCTGGACCTTCAAAATCTGTACAGTATACTGTACTATTCTGTATTATCATTGTATTAAATATTTTCTTTTCCAATATGAATGTTTAATATGTATGTATTTTAAGAGCAATTATATTAGTTAAGCTGAACTTTATTGTTATTTGACAAATTTTTTTTTGTGAATCTCTGACTAATTTCAACAACATGGTACTGTACTGTACTGTACTGTACAGTCACCACGCTTTCCATCTGGATGGATGAGATGAAAATAGTTTATCTCGCCCATGTTGATGGACACGTTAGGAATAGGTAGCAAACATTCCCCAATTCACCCACGACATCCACCAAATAGGCTGGCACAGTGTGACATTATCGATGGCTATACGACATCAGAGACAGCTGGCAAAACTGGCCAATATACAGGGTGTGAACTGGGTTTTAGGCTGGCATTACCAGTATAATTCTTGGTTACCTTATTAATTTACTAAATATGTTACAACACATTTGAAGTTCTAGCTAGTCAATTTTCATATTGTAAAGTTGCGCCTGTGTATTGAGTAATTAATGTAAACTGTGTAGAAGCAAAACGATTAAATTGTGTAAGGCAACTGACTACAGTACCTAATTTTAACATAAAAAACATGAGTTCCTGTACTGTACCGTACTGTATTGTACCGTACAGTAACGTACCGTACCGTACCGTACCGTACCGTACCGTACTGTACTATACTGTACCGTACAGTACCGTACAGTACCGTACCGTACCGTACCATACTGTAGTACAGTATGGTACCGTACGGTACGGTACGGTACAGTACAGTATTACTGTACTGTACCGTACCGTACCATACTGTACCGTACTGTACCGTACTGTACTGTACCGTACCGTACCATACTGTACCGTACTGTACTGTACCATACCGTACTGTACTATACTGTACTGTACCGTACCGTACCGTACCGAACCGTACCGTACCATACTGTACCGTACTGTACTGTACCATACTGTACTGTACTATACTGTACTGTACTGTACCGTACCGTACCGTACCGTACTGTACCGTACTGTCCTGTACTGTCCTGTACTGTACTGTACCATACTAAATAATAGACATTCTTGAAACCGTGACACCCTTCAGAAGAATGGGTAAAATTATTAATATCATGCTAAAATGTAATTTACTCACCAGTTCTCTCCGGATGTGAAATGAACAACAAATACGAGCTGAAGAACTCGCTGGGACAGCAATTTCTGTTGGCAAAGGAGGACACTGACTGCTGCACCAGGCAGTGCTGTGGCCCCATGAGACCATATGAGATGGCCCTCCTCGACAACCAGGAGCAGGAGATTATACATCTCTCTCGCCCCCTTGCCTGTATCAACTGCTGCTGTTCTTGCTGCCTTCAGGTAAGAAACCCAAGGAAGTCTTTGGTTTAAGTTTTGAACCAACTGAACTGAAAAATTATTTGGTGCGTTGTCTTATTTTATTTGATAATAGTGATAATGTATCATGCATTTGCCTCACCCTTATTATTTTTTATTTGTAAACTTAAAATATAAGCCTCACTGTAGAAGGTCTGCCTCTGCTATTCCTTTATGGTATATTACACAGAAAGCTCAGATACCTTGGCCACTGTACAGTACAGTTCTTGATTATTCTCCACTTACTCAAGAATACAGTTACTGTATTTACCCAGAATTTGGAAGTGTTTTGTATGACCCAAGCCACATCACATACCTACCAACAATGATTATTGTCACTTGTCATGACTCGTACAGCTCTACATTATGATTCCATTCTCATTGCCGACGTTCTGGTAGAGAATCAGGTACTCGGGATGACTTATACGTCCATGGTGTGGGTTTTCTTGTCTTTATTGCACACAGAGTTAACTGCCAAAAGCAGCATCCAAAAAGCATAAGTACAGACACGGGAAGACATTTAATATATAAAGTGAATCGGTTCCATCATAGCATCCAATCCTACAGTTAATAGAAAACATTACTCTCTAATGGTAAACTAAAGTTTCGTGATCATCTTGGCAAAGTGTGTTATTTAAATATACTACAAGAAGTGTCAAAGCTGTGTGCCTATTCCTCTCACTTCTTCAAAATACTGAAAGTGAGATAAATATTTTATTCTTCCTCACTGTACATCAGTCTTATTGAGAAATTTCATGATATTTCTTGCAGAGTTTAGAGGTGTCCAGTCCACCGGGGTCAGCAATTGGCACCATCCACCAGGAGTGGAGCATTTGTACTCCCATGGCTGGCAAGTTCACCATCAGGAATGTGTCAGGTGATGTGGTGCTCAGGATAGAGGGACCCGTGTGTGCCTTCAGCTGTGGCGGTGATGTAGTCTTCAAGGTGGGAGAAAACATTGATTTAAGGTTACCAAGTTTAGTTGATCATTGAGTAGAACCAAGGTGAAGCCTGTGTAAGGCATCGGAGGAGTAATTGTTCAAACTCTGCAAGCTCAAAATCTTTGATACTAGAATGATAGAAGGCCTGAAAAATTATGTTCATTGCAGCTTAAAATGTGCAATGACCATATTCCAATAAACTATTAATACCAATGGCTAATACCAAAAATTATAACAAATGTAGTTTATGAATCTTTTGGCCTACTCATAAAATAGGTTGAGTATACTGTATATACATTTAGATTTAGTTTTTACATTTTATCCAAAACAGTAAACATTTCTTAAAGGTAATAGACATCACTCTATCAGAGCATCACCTTGCATCTACTCCCAACCATTTTACTATTTACTGGATGGACAATACACAAATGTATACAATATAATTTTGCTTTAAACCTGTTGATAGTGGAGGTATTTTGTTCATGGAAAAATAGTTTAAGCTTTTTATTTTCTGCAGCATTACCATTTGTCACAACTACTGTATGTCCTGACCTGTCCAAGAAGTGTTTTTTCATAGATTTTACATGAATATCTTTCTCTCTTTCTTTCTCTGTTCATAATAAACTATTCTTAGTCATCTTTCAGATTTTCAATGAGGACAACTCTGCCCAGATTGGTCATATAACAAAGCAGTGGAGAGGGTTCTGTGCTGAGGCATTTACCGATGCTGATAACTTTGGCCTCACCTTCCCCATGGATCTTGAGGTGCGCTTCAAGGCCCTCATCATTGGTGCAGCATTCCTCATTGTAAGTAAATAAAAGTTTCGCCTGTTTGTACTTTTTTCAGCTATATGATATGGAACATGCATATTAACCCTTTGATTGTAGATGTGCAATGCATGGTACAGTTCACTTTTAGCAGTTGATTGCAGGGCAACTTCTAAGGCAATATGAGTGGATGGACTAAAATAGCTTTATTTATTGACATGGAGTGGAGAGATTTAGTCCATTATTGGGCAAAAAAATTAAATAAAATTAAGCAAACATTAAACCTTACCGTAATCGGTTAAATAAGTCAAATTACCTGAGCTACCCAAGTGTTTACGTTAGGTTGATTGCATAACTCGGGGACCAGATGGGGTGACAGTACTCCAAACAGGGAAGCACCTCACTTTTGAGAAGCATTATGAGGGTCATTGCATATAGGTGTGTGTGTGAATGACCTTCTTATAAGACCTACTGGCTTAGATGCTTAATTCACCTTCTCACAATGGTCAGAGAACTTCAGTTCATCTTCTACATACACACCCAGGTCCTTTTCACACAGAAACACTAAAGTTTTGAGAGTACAACATGAGATGCTACATGGGGTGACTCGTTATGCTGCAGGAAAAACCTTGCAAGCTAGCCACCATAGCCACCATCTGCTTACCACTAATTGTCGAAATCGCGAATCGCAAACCCGCGAATGGGAAGGGTCTACTGAACTGTACAGTATAGTATAAAATTCCCCTTAATTATATTTGTAAAATAACAGTACTAAATGGGGGTACAATTTTAGCCTAGTTGTAATGACTAATTTTACACACATGTATGGGTGTCCGCAGGGGCTGCAATTCTGCAAATCTTGTTCACAATACAGGTTGTACCTCTCTAGTCCGTCATTCTGTGGTCCGGAAACTCCCGTGGTCCGGAACGATTTTAGTTTGTCCAATAGGTAGATAGACAGTGTTTTTTTTTTTTTTACTTATCTGAATTATTATTACAGGAGTATTAAATTTTTGCCCCTCAGGCCCCAATGTGGGTCAGTGACCTATGCCCGGGTGGGCTAATCCCCTAAAAAAACAAAAAACAAAGCCGCGGGAAATTAAGGTTTGTTTACATCCGGCAGTTCGGCTGCTCTCTTTCTCTCTCTCTCTGCTTGTCTATACAGAGTACAACATTTAACCCTTCAATATATATGAGCAGTAAATAAGTGTTGCTTTCATATTCTTATGTAGAGTAATGACGATATGTTTTCACATGTGCGCACTTACATACGCGCAGTCTCACTTTTTTTTACCATTAATGGTTAGCTACTTATATTGTTCCATTTATTAACATTAAATAACATTTACTTAAAACAACCATATTAATTTTACTACAGCTACAACCAGGGTCTTATTTTCTTCAGTTTTATATGTAGAACCAGTCAGTCACTGGTTTTGTAATCAACGAAAACAATGCTGTGTCATTTCCTCGTGTGTTTTAATATTCTACATATTATTAATGAATTGTATTGCTCATTTTGCACACATAAACATTAATTCAATAAAAAAGACATTCAGTAATAAACAATAATGAATCTTTTGTACATAAGAGAAATGACGCTGTTTACACGATTATGCACGTCGTCTGCACGTTGGCGGGCCGTTCAAACCCGTCGAAATTCAAGTTTCCGCCGTCAAAATTTTTATTTATTTTTTTTTGTGTTCCAATAAAATACGTTAAGAATTAAAAACTCGCGAAATTTGAGAAGCTACTATACGACATTTAACCCTTCAATATGTCTTCAAAGAGACCATGATGCAGAGAAAGTGGTGCTAGTGCTTCCAAGCATAAGCACAAGTCACTATCTATCCAGGAAAAGGGTGAATTTCCATGGTTCGGCAATTTCCATGGTCCGGCACTGGTCAGGTCCCGAGGTTGCCGGACTAGAGAGGTACAACCTGTAGGTGTATGAGATTACAAGTTTTTAAGTGAAAATTAATTTACAAAAGGTATTTCAGGAAAGGTGTCCTTTTATAAATCGGAAATGCAGTTCCTGCAGTAAGAAAATTTACTGAAATACAAAATTTTTATATATTTTCTCTCTTTCAGGATTTCATGTACTTTGAAAAGGCTAAAAACTAAGAGCCAGAGCTACACGGGACATGTTCACCCTTTTACTTCTTGAATTTCTTGACAATGATGTTAGAAAATGACCTTTCTCCATGAGCTGCAGGAACTACTGTGAGCTACAATACCTGCTGTTGCCTGTGGTAACTGAAGTAACTGTTGCATGCTGGGGTAATCACTGTGCCCTGTGGTAACTTTTGATAATTGTTATGAGCTGTGGTAATGCCATTTACCTGTTGTAGTAAATCCTCTGATCCCTCATATATGTTGTTATATAGAGTAACAACTTGTTTTCTAAACCTTAGCATGAGATAATGATTTATTAAAGCAGTTACCACAGTAACTAACTTCCCTCATGATCATTACTTGGTACCTAGATCACACAAGTGGCCTTGTACATTGTCAATGCAGAGTGACTACCTCTGTACTCTGGTATCTCTTGCCTAAGTTGGAATTAAATGTACTGTAGTTTAATATTCTGTCAATGGATAATCACAAGAAATATAAAGGAGAAATAGGTCAGTATATAATTGGTATAGAACTTGGATTATTTGTAAAATTATCTTCTTAAAAACATAAGAATTTGTTTTAGATTTGGTGTGCTGTAAACTATGAATACAGGTTATGATACCATTTATCCGGCATGCTTGGGACCCGGGAGTTGCCGGATAAGGATTTTTTCTGGAATTTGGAGTGCCATCCTAAAATATACAGTAAACCCTTTATAACTGGCTGTGAAGCCTCTGTTCTGATCATTAGATTCACCCAAAAGTAGCTTTAACTGTATACACTGTAACATTAAAACTTAAAATTGGAGGCACATAAGTCACAAAAACAAAAGCATATAATTAGTATGTACAGTAATAATAAAAGAATAAAAAAAGGTAAAAATTATACAAGTTAGTGTTTAAACTGCATCACAATCGCCCATGATACTCACCGTAGCATTGCAACAGTGTCCTTTCCCTCTGACCTCTCCACACACTCACCACACAGCTTCATGGATGTAAACCTGTAGATACAAAAAACTTTGCACCACATGATAATTAATTATTTTATTTCTTTTTGTACTTTCTGTATGTAGGATTGTTTGTGCTATAACTGAGTAAAAAAATAAATTAGAAAATTACTGTACATGTATCTACCTGAAATTACCAGTTGAAAAAATACTTCATGCTGTTGATAATATTTTCCCTTATTTGTTTTCATTCTCTGTATGTGTGATTGAGTGTGTATGTATCTGAATAAAGAAAATTACGTATATCTACCCATGAGCTGAAAAATTACCACAACATAACATATAGCTCACAGGCGGGGATTGGTTGGAAATATCCCCGCTCAGCCAAGGGAAATACTTTTGGTGCTCATTTTAAATTATTGTGCCAGAACAAAGCCATTTTTTGGAGCATTCCAGATACCAGGACATTGGATAAATGGTCTCATACCTGTATATATAAGTGTATGTAATGTGTATGAATATGCATGTACAGTACATATGTTCAAAATACTGTACTTTCTCGCACTGCCTAAGAGGATGGTTCTTACAGTCTGCTCCTCTACCCTCTATCTTTCCATATATCTACATACAATACTTACACCTACCTCAGTTTCTTCACAAATCTTCCTCATTCTTTCTCTACATCTCCTACACTTTTTTCCATGAGCTTTCTACATAATCTTTCTCATTTCTCATCATTTTTCTCACTTTCATCCTTTACTTTCTTATTTTCTCTCTACAGTACACCTCTCTTACACCTCTTTCAGTCTTTCCTTGCACGTCCCTCACTCTTTGTCTGCACCTCCCTCATGCTTTTCCTACATCTCCCTCACATTCTCCTCACACCTGTCTCACTCTTTCCTCACCAATCCCATGAAAGTTAAATTAAATTTATGGTACATGTAATTGTCTTAAATTTGAGGAAAACATTTTGTTCGTAGTTTGTCACAATAAATGGCTCCAAAACCTCACCACTGCCAATAGTACAGTACTAGTAACACCCATTATTGGTCCATGGCAACATGTGATAACCCCCCCTGGTGCTGGTTCGTATGTCCATACTCTTCACTACTACTACAGGACCGTCAACTTTTCCCCCAAAGAATCCTGAAAAAATTTGATATTTACAGTTTCAAAATTTCTTCTCTAAGTATATTTATGTGGATTAAGAACTTGAATAGCAAGTTATTATTATTATATCCCTTAAGAAGATTCCCTAAAGTTGAGATTTAAAATTATGTTTGTAAAGGATGTTATCATACCAACTATACTGTATGATATGTTGAGTTCGTGACGAGATAATATTCGGGTTAAAGACATTGCATAGTAGGTTTTTAAGACCTTTTGTTTTAGTGACAAAATCTTAAGTCAAAATACACTACAGTACTATACAAGTATCTCTCACTCTACAAACATTTGAGCTACGGAAAGTCTATTATACGGATTTTCTTTTCTTGCACATCCTTCTTATTTTATGAAAGCTCTTCTCACTTATATGAATATGGTTCCTTAAGGTAATGTACCAGATATATTTATTATTTTTTTAATGCTAGGTACTAAATTAAAGTATAGTTAGACACTATTTTACAGTAGTTAGGAAGAATTTTTGTTGTTTGTGAGCCAATTTAATTTTTTTTTAGGTATGATATTGGGGTTTCTTATCATTATGGAACCGAACCCTATACTGTATGTTATATTTAAAGTGAGGGATACTTGTATGTTCAGTATTTCAGCTGTCATATTTAATTAAGGATGTGTTAGGATATGATGCATTTAGCTGCTGATAGAAATACTGTGTACAAGTATTGGACATTTTTGACAAAAAATATTAAAATTATTCCACTCACCTATAATAGTTACCTGATAACTCTCACTTAAAGAAAACAGTAACCCTGAGCTGCCAGTAGTGAACACACTGCCTGTTGTCTGACCATTATATCTGATACTGTATGTCAATAGAAAAAACTTAGTTTCAACAATTTTGATAAACATGTTATTTTGTAAACTGCTGACTGAGTGCAATAGACTTTGGGACCATGATTCTACAGTGAATATCAGGTACAGCAAGTCACTGATTTACGTCATAGATGCATAACAAAAAAATGCGACATTATTCAGAAAGTCGTGCATTCACAGGGAACATTTTCCATCACCTTAACCTTTAATGTGAACTTCATACAGCAGAGCCTCTAACTAACACAAACCAGAGCAAACTACTAAGTTATGTGCCATGTTAAAGAGGTATATGACATTAAAGTACTGTGTAGGTTTAAAATAAATACAGTTTTCAGTCATCCTAATCTAACTTTTCCACTTGACTTCATGCAGTAGATGTGCTCATGAAGCACAAACCAAAGTAGATTACTAACTTTGTGTTATACAGTACTGTACTAAAGTTCTGAAGCTGACTGAGTGAGTTCCCGCCCGATCGCCACACCATAAGCCATGTCTAATATCTATTCTTTCTTCACTTTTCTTTAATAAGCATCACTAAATAATTAAAACAAAAAGACTGAGCCTTAAACTAACACGGTATGTCTAAAGGCAAAATCACTTTCATCTGCAACGTCACTGTCAGGGTCACTTGCCTCAACAGCCTGTCTCTCCTCTACCTCTGTCTCCCTAGGCCATCTCTCTCCTGAATTCACACTTCCGGAATTTTCATGTCTAAACTGATGGAAAGATGGTATTTCTTGGGTACACTCACTTACTAAGAAATAAGAACACAGATACTATGCTGAATATCATATCTAATAAATATGTACCCAAGACCAAACCCAGAGCCTCCAGGAATACAAGGAGACCGCAACACATGAACCATGCGGCGGTCAGCAAAGTTAAGAAGAAAACTCAGGATTTCTAGACATGGGTTAGAACAAATGGTGAGCAGGACAGGAGGATGTATGCTAGATCTAGGAACTAAGCAAAGTTACAGTGTAGAAGGGCTGAAAAAGAGTTCCAGAGGCAGGCAGATTGCAAGTGACGTCAATTCAAACCCAAAGGCTTTTTACCGCTACGCAAAGTCGAAATTAAAAATGCAATTAGGCTATCAGACTGAGGCTTGAAGATGGTAGTTATGCAGATTCTGACCAGGATAATGTGGAGGTGTTGAACAAATTCTTTTCCTTGGTGTTCACAAGAGAGGATGTGAACAATCTTCATGCATTTGAGGAAGGACAGTTTAACACATTGCTGAGCCACATTGTGTTCCCGTATAAGGTTATAAGAAATAGACTGTCAAAGCTAAAGATTCACAAGAGTTCCGGCCCTGATATGGTACACCCCAGAGTGTTAAGAGAACTGTAACAAGCTTGTGGAGCCCCTTAAGGTTCTGTTTTGCAAATTCCTGGAGGAGCAAATGGTTCCCGATGACTGGAAAATGGCTTATGTGAGTCCTATACAGTATTCAAGAAGGGCGATCGTCACTCCACGAATAATTATAGACCAGTGAGCCTGACAAACATAGTACGTAAAGTATTAGAGAGCATTATAAGAGATGCCATGATGGAACTTCTACTATGAAACAACCTTGTAAAAAACTGCCAACATGGTTTTATGCCGGGAGGATCCTGCTTAACACAATTAGTCAAGATACTGGATGTTTGGACTCAAATTCTAGAGCAAGGCAGAAATATCGACAATATATACGTAGATTTTGCCAAGGGTACCGGATTCAATGAAATGTCCTAGCTTGGATCCGAGACTTTCTGTATGACTGCAAACAGTGTGTGGTGATAAATGGTACGAAATCGTCATGTGTACCTGTGACAAGCGGGGTGCCACAGGGCAGTGTATTGAGCCCCTTGTTGATTGTTTGCTTCATAAATGATTTGCCAGAAGCTATACACTCCTCCATACAAAAGTTTGCGGGAAATTAAAGACCAACAGATTGTGATGAGTTACAGAAAGATCTCTGTGAGCTTCAAGAATGGTCAAAGAAACGGCTGTTAAGATTCAATGTCACGAAGTGCAAGAGGATGCATCTAGGCCATACCAACTGCATTAATTGAAACCGAATGTGAAAAGATTCTGGGTGTGTATGTCGACAATGAATTTAAGTTCTCGGGCCATTATGAGAAGAAGGTGAATCAGACAACAAAACTAGTAGGTCTCAAAAGAAGGTCATTTAAATATCTGGATGGTCCATCACTCAACACAATATTCAAGAGTGAGGTGCTTCCCTGTTTGGAGTACTGTTACCCCATCTGGTCCCCGAGGTATGCTAAAGATTGTCACTTGATTGAAAATGTCCAAAGAAGGGCCACCAAACTGGTGCCTGCCTTACAGAATCTCGGTTACCCAAAGAGATTAGAATGCTTGCAGCTGCTAACTTGCGCTACAGCTGAGCAAGGGGCGACCTAATCAAAGTGTATAAACATCTCAGGTGGCACTTCTTGGTCGAATGTACATATCTGGAGCTGGCGGACATCTGCCCCACAAAGTGTCACAGCTTAAAGTTGAAAAGCTACAAGTCCAGAAAACTGCGTGGGCAAACATTTTTGGAGTGAGAATTGTGAACTCTTGGATCAATCTGCCAGAGAGTGTTGTGATGGCACCAAGTGTGAGCTCATTCAGGCCAGACTTGACCAACACTGGAGCAGGTTCAGATATATTGAGGAGCCAGTGCATGCCCAGTACTTGCCAACGGTGTGTAACAGATACGTAACCAACCGCCCGAGCGGCTAATGATCCGATCAGTAGCGAAGAGGACGAGAGTAAAAGTAAAAAAAACACCAGTAGGACTGTTTGCAGGAAGTTTTACAGCCATGGTGTTTTGGTGTTTTTTTAATGTTGGGCTCAAAAATAATCCATGGAGCAGTACCAGTTGTTTTCACCAAAACAGAAAGCGTGAGACTGAATTTTGGTTGGCTGGGTACACATGGGTTAGGCGGGCGCCACACTGGTGAGCGCGAGATTCCAAAAAGACTCGATATCAGACCAGTGAAATATATCAAATAATGTTCCTTAACTATTAAACAACTTCATGTCGAAGTGATGCTGTTTGGCATGATGTAAATCAGTGAATGAATGTTCGTGCAATTAGACTCGGAGGACAAAAACACAAATTGTCACATATATAGAGCACATTGTGATGTAAGCAAGGTACTATTGATCTACAATAGGCTGCTGCTGTATTATTAGAATAGAGTATTTATAGAATAGATTACAAGCTAAAATACAGTATGATCACTATCCAAAAGATGACCCATAAAATTTAACAATAATATCCAATAGGGGAACTTAGATGATATCCATTTTTTAATAGAACTCGAGTACTTATAAATCTGTTGAGAAGATGGCAGTCATATATAAATGCATCAGTAATGTGAACATGTTTATAAATGCAATTTTGAATTCCTTTGCTGTGGCCTTCACAAGTTAAATGTCCTTCAGGTGCTGAGAATATTTATTGTTTGGTATGTCCTAAGTTTTTGATCAAGCTATTTTGTTTAATTATCTGGGAAAAATCATTTTTTAATTTAGAGTCATCTCAAGCTACAGCAACTGCATGATGGCACATTTACCATTTCACAACTTTTTCGTCTGCTATTTGAACTTATTTGTGGCGGAAAATGCAGAGCGGAGAGTTCTGGTCCTTAGGTCAAATATGCGGAGTAAGAACTCCTTATGTTTAGATCTATTATTTGACTTGTACAGTATTGGGTATTATTTCGTTATAAATTAGTCCATAATATTGGGATTGACATTATATAAAGGCATATTTATATATTACCATAATAACATCAATTGTCTTATGCACTTTGAGTCAACTCAGAGATAACTATGCAGTAATCCCATGCCATTTGCGAGGAATAGGTTCCAAGAAATGGCACGAATTGGCAAAACCACAAATAGCAACTTATACTACCTTAGTGCACTACTGTATACCTGTACCAAACAACTGACCAGCCGAAGCAGCACTCATTCCCTCTTTTAACTTATTTAATAATAAAACTTTCTTTGTCAGGGTCATCACTGACTTCTGCCTTTTACATTTAACTCCACTAGCATCACTAGCACTGACACTAGGCAGTCTTTTAGGGGCCATTTCACACAGAAACACTAAAGTTTTGAGAGTACAACACGAGATACTGCGTGGGTGACTCATTGTGCTGCAGGAAAAGGCTTGCAAGAAAGCCACCATAGCCACCATCTGCTTACCACGAATCGTCAAAATTACGATTCGCAAACTAAAGAATGGCAAGGGTCTACTGTATTCATTATATGTACTGTACTATTTTCATCAAAGTCAAACAAAAACAAACTACTGTATGTTTCATATGTAATTACAAAATAAATGGATTATTTTCCATTACTCTTAGTTTATATTTCCCAAACATCACTGGCACAAGAAGGGTCACCACAGTTATGACCTCCAGCTAAACAAACTGTCATTAACTGTCTTGGATCAACAATCAATCAATCATCAGTATACCACTTAGCAGGTATGCACACCAACATTCATTAGTGCATATACGTACAGTAATATATATTTGCTAGTCCAAAATGTAATATTAGATAAAAAAAAATAATATTGGAAAATAATTTAACAAATGCTCTCTCATTTTTTTAGGAAGAAAAATCCTGTTTTTCCTTGATGTCTGACAAAATCAGTGTCTTCTGTTTCCATCATTAGTGCATTTTAACATTATAGTTGCAGGGTGTCATCATTCAACCAGGTATGTACTTATAATTTTAGCCTCTTAAACACTGATCGGCTGGTTCTCAGCTTGGGCCGTTGGTTATGTTTCTGTTACACACTGTTGGCAAGTACCGGGCATGCACCGGCTTCTGAATGTATGTGAACCTGCTCCAGTGTTGGTCACGTCTGGTCTTGAAAGAACTCACACTCGGTGCCGTCACAACAATCTCTGGCAGATTGTTCCAAGAGTTCACAACTTTCACTACAAAAAAGTTACCCCTCACAGTTTTCTGGACTTCCAGTTTCTTCAACCTTGAGCTGTGACCCCTTATGGGGTAAGCGTCCACCAGCTCCAGGCATGGACATTCGACCGAGTAGTGTCCTTTGAGATGTTTATGCACCTCAATTAGGTAGCCCCTTGCCCATCTGTAGTACCTGTATAAGCTAGATAATTGCAGGCACTCTAATCTCTCAGGGTAACTGAGGTGCTGAAGTGCAGGCACCAGTCTGGTGATCCTCCTTTGTACATTTTCAATCAACTAACAGTCCCTAGCATATCTTGGGAGCAAGGCAGGGTGAGAGTACTCCAGGCGGGGAAGCACCTCACTCTTGAAGAGTGTTACGAGAGACGGACCATCTAGATACATATCTGAATAACCTTCTTATAAAACCTAATAATTTAGTTACTTGATTAACCTTCTTCTCACACTGGCCCAAGAACTTCAGTTCATTGTCAACATACACACTGAGGTCCTTTTCGCATTCAGTCTCAATTAATGCAGTTTTTTCGTCCCGTTGGGACATACGATACACCTTACATTTCCCCGAATCATGTACAGGGCCATACCCTTCCAGTTTAATTTTTAGCCTTTCATGGGGCCCGCTGTCTAGAGCCTTGGCAAAATCGAGGTATATGTTGTCAATATTGCCATCCTGTTCCAGAATTTGGGTTCAAACTTCCAGTACCTTGAGTAAATGTGTTAAACAGGAGTGCCCCGGCATAAAACCATGTTGGCAATTCTATACAAGGTTGTTTCATAGTAGATGTTACATCATGGCATCTCTTATAATACTGAGGCACCACCACCACCACCACCACCAGATGACTGAGGCACCACCCAGGCACCAGCCACCACTACCACCAGATGACTGAGGCACCACCACCACCTCTACCACCAGATGACTGAGGCACCACCACCTCTACCACCAGATGACTGAGGCACCACCACCACCAGATGACTGAGGCACCACCAAATCACCACACCTGGATGACTGAGGCACACACCACCACCACCACCACCACCACCAGCAGATGACTGAGGCACCACCACACTCACCAGATGACTGGAGGCGGCCACACCACCTCTACTCACCAGATGACTGGAGGTGCCACCACCTCTACCACCAGATGACTGAGGCACCACCACCTCTACCACCAGATGACTGAGGCACCACCACCACCAGATGACTGAGGCACCACCAAAATCACCACCAGATGACTGAGGCACCACCACCACCCTACCAGATGACTGAGGCACCACCACCACCACCACCAGATGACTGGAGGCACCACCACCACCAGATGACTGAGGCACCACCACCAAGCCACCAGATGACTGAGGCACCACCACCTCTGGCCACCAGATGACTGAGGCACCACCACCTGTACCACCAGATGACTTGGAGGCACCACCACCTCTACCACCAGATGACTGAGGCACCACCACCACCACCACCTCAGATGAGACTGAAGCGCCACCTACCCACTACCACCAGATGACTGGAGGCACCACCACCACCTCTACCACCAGATGACTGAGACACCACCACTACCACCAGATGACTGAGGCACCACCACCTCTACCACCAGATGACTGAGGCGCCACCACTCCTACCACCAGATGACTGAGGCCACCACCACCACCACCACCACCTCAGATGACTGGAGGCACTCACCACCACCACCTCTACCACCAGATGACTGAGGCACCACCACCACCAGATGACCGAGGTGCCACCACCTCTACCACCACATGACTGAGGCACCACTCACCACCAGATGACTGAGGCACCACCTCACCACCAGATGACTGGAGGCACCACCACCTCTACCACCAGATGACTGAGGCACCACCACCTCTACCACCAGATGACTGAGGCACCACCACCTCTACCACCAGATGACTGGAGGCACCACCACCTCCTACCACCAGATGACTGAGGCACCACCACCACCAGATGACTGAGGCACCACCCGCCAAAATCACCACCAGATGACTGAGCGCCACCACCTCACCACCAGATGACTGAGGCGCCACCACCACCACCACCACCACCAGATGACTGAGGCACCACCACCACCACCTCTACCACCAGATGACTGAGGCACCACCACCACCAGATGACTGAGGTGCCACCACCTCTACCACCACATGACTGAGGCACCACCACCACCAGATGACTGAGGCACCACCACCACCAGATGACTGAGGCACCACCACCTCTACCACCCAGATGACTGAGGCACCACCACTTACCACCAGATGACTGAGGCACCACCACCTCTACCACCAGATGACTGAGGCACCACCACCTCTACCACCAGATGACTGAGGCACCACCACCCCTACCACCAGATGACTGAGGCACCACCACCACCAGATGACTGAGGCACCACCAAATCACCACCAGATGACTGAGGCACCACCACCACCACCACCACCACCAGCAGCAGATGACTGAGGCACCACCACCACCACCACCACCAGATGACTGAGGCACCACCAAAATCCCCACCAGATGACTGAGGCACCACCACCTCTACCACCAGATGACTGAGGCACCACCAAAATCACCACCAGATGGCCACCACCACCACCATATGACAGGAGACTACATTACCACCACCAACACCAGATGACTGAGGCTACATTACCACCATATGACTGAGGTATCACCAGAGGACAGAAGGCTACATCACCACCAACAACACCAGATGACTGAGCCTACACCACCACCACCAGATGACTGAGACTACATCACCACCACCAGATGACTGAGCCTACATCACCACCACCAGATGACTGAGCCTACATCACCACCACCACCACCAGATGACTGAGCCTACATCACCACCACCACCAGATGACTGAGGCTACATCACCACCACCACCACCAGATGACTGAGCCTACACCACCACCACCAGATGACTGAGGCTACATCACCACCACCACCACCAGATGACTGAGCCTACACCACCACCACCAGATGACTGAGCCTACATCACCACCACCAGATGACTGAGCCACACCACCACCACCAGATGACTGAGCCTACATCACCACCACCAGATGACTGAGCCCATCACCACCACCACCACCAGATGACTGAGCCTACATCACCACCACCACCAGATGACTGAGGCTACATCACCACCACCACCACCAGATGACTGAGCCTACACCACCACCACCAGATGACTGAGGCTACATCACCACCACCACCACCAGATGACTGAGGCTACACCACCCACCACCAGATGACTGAGCCTACACCACCACCACCAGATGACTGAGCCTACATCACCACCCACCAGATGACTGAGCCTACACCACCACCACCAGATGACTGAGCCTACACCACCACCACCAGATGACTGAGCCTACACCACCACCACCAGATGACTGAGCCTACATCACCCACCAGATGACTGAGCCCACATCACCACCACCACCACCCAGATGACCTGAGCCTACATCACCACCACCACCAGATGACTGAGGCTACATCACCACCACCACCACCAGATGACTGAGCCTACACCACCACCACCAGATGACTGAGGCTACATCACCACCACCACCACCAGATGACTGAGGCTACACCACCACCACCAGATGACTGAGCCTACATCACCACCACCAGATGACTGAGCCTACACCACCACCACCACCATGTTGTACAGTACATGAAATAGCGTAAATAATGGACTTAGGTGGTAGATAAATACAGGGTACAGTGCATATAAAAACACATATAAATACACAAAGAAAAAACATATGGTTAAATAAATATTGATTATGTCATTATCGTCAAGAATCATTTGAAAGTAATTAAGTTGTCATTACTTTTCTCTGTTAATTTAGTGATTATGGCATTATTGGCAAACAACAAGTAGTGACAAAATTTACACAACTTAAGATAATTAATAATATTATAGCGTAAATTTATAATTTTTAGAGCGTTTAAAAATAAATATAATGAAAAACTATTGCCGTATAAACACCTGACAGGGAGCGCTGGTCACACCCTTAACACCAGCTCTAAGACGTGAGGAAATGTTTTTGGTTATATTGTCTTGTCAGGATTAATTTGTGTATTAATATATAGGAGATGTGTGCAGGGATTATAGAGAGAGTCTTATAATTGTTGTGACAATATTTTGGATAAGGTAAGAGACATGCTGAACATATAGGCAGGGGTTATATTTTACCCTCATTATATATACTAAGAAGAACATAAAATTGGAGGAAACTGGGCAGTCTCGTTTACACCCAACCCCTATTGCTCATATATCCATCCAATCTACATTTGTTACCAATGAAAGCAACTTTGTTGAAGCCCCATGGTGTAATTTTATGTCTTTTGTGGACATGACAGTACAGTGCAGTGCAGTATGCTCAGACCCTCAGGCTGAGTGTGTCAGTTGTAAACAGGTGACATGAGGTGACTGCAAACTTGTGTTAATTTATTACGTGAAGTGGTATTAGAAAAGGTTGTTCCTATTGATGAGACTTAACTAATGTTAAACACAAAATTGCTCTAACGGAGTTGTGGCTAAAACTGTAATACCAAAGATAATAATAATACTGTAATATTAGATGGTACAGCAGATGTCTGTGTCTAACCTAACCTAACCTAACCTAACCTCCCCAAGTTCTTTATAGTAAATATAATATTTTGTTTGTTACAGGAGATGTTACAACAAAATGTTTGGAAATTGAACTGCTCCATAACAGCTGAAAATGATAATGGGCGTATGGAACAAAAGCTCCCACCAACACTACCACCAGTGTGGCATGATCATCACTGCCACCACCACTACTAGCACCACCACCTATGGCAAGGTAAACTAAAGGAACAGTTCTCTTAGCCTATATAGGAAATCTTTCTATCCATCAAACCCTCAAGACAAGTTGTAACTGTGCTGCTGTTAGTCATTTGTCTGTCTGTCTTCCTTTTTTATATCTTTCTATCTATTTAACAGTCGGTGGTTCCCAGCCTGTTGACCATGGGGGTAATTTAAACCATGTGAGTTCATAGTAAAACTAAACAGGGCTTCAGGGCTTGACCCTCCTAGCAGAGTGCCTGAGTTTGAACCAGGGGTCTGTAATCCTCATATTTGTGACCGGCATTATAGCATCCAAAATATGTGATGATCGGTCGGCAAAGTTGATAAAGTAAAATAAGAATGTTGGAACACTTGATGCAGGAAACACCTTATGTGATAGTCTTTGTTAAACTGGTAAATTATACCTGACAATGCTAGTACATAAAATACTTGTAACAATTACTGTTGAAAATCTGCTTCAAATTCTTTTGTTGCCTTTAAGCAGATGTGGACAGTTACTGTCAGCCATATATTAAAAATAATATTCAGACAATTTGACCAAGGACAGCTGACAAAGCCATGAGATACTTATTTCCAGTAGAGTCTTTATGCCAGCAGCATGTGGTGGCCAGGCAGTCACCCATCTAAGTACTAACTTTGCTATTCGGACAAGAAGCGGTGTTTCCAACGTGGTAGTACTGTGTGCTCTTGGTGATGCACAGCTGCAAGGGCAGATCCAGGAGGGTCCTGGGGGTCCAGACCTCCTCTTTTTCATCAGAAAGTTCCATTACTTTTTCTTTAATGAGGTATTGTACTCAGGTGTTTTTGTATAGTAAAAAATAATTATTATTGACCTCAAAATATCTCCTAATATCAAGAGCACATGGCTTCAAAATGGCCTCAAAATGCCCATGATATTGGTCAGCGTCCCCCCAGCTGGGTGGGCTCACTGTGCTTGCCATGTTCCCCCACCCACAACTTCTTGGACCCCCCTTTTAATATTCCTGGATCTGCCCCCAAGCTTGGACCTACAGGTTAATATCCTGAAACATATTAACAAAACCACAAGAGTCATTGTTAGACTTTGGAGAAAATAAACATGAATCAGGTAACACAGTAGACTTGTGTAAAGAGCAAGTACTGTACTCTACTGTACTCTACAGTACTGTACTGTACTACACTGTACTCTACAGTACTGTACTGTACAGTCCAATACTGTACCGTACTATACTGTACTCTACAGTGCTGTACTGTACTTTTTTTTTCTTTTCTTTTTTATTGGGCACCTCCCTACATCCTTGTGTAAGGTGAATCGCAGAAGCGTTTACAGCACCCAACAGGGAAGCATGCTAAGTTCATGCTTGCCTTTATGTCTCACGAGTTAAGGGCGTAGAAGCCTGAAGAGTCAAGGACGTAGAAGCCTGAAGAGTCAAGGGCGTAGAAGCCTGAAGAGTCAGTGGTTTATGTCATTAAGTTATTGGAAGCTCCAACAACTTTCCCTGAATACGAATTCGCAATTTTCGACTTACACCAGGTACCTACTTTACTGCTAGGTGAACAGGGATTAATGGGGGCTAGGAAGTAAGTCCAAACAACTTCCACCGGCCCGGGAATCGAACCCGTGACATCTCGCTTGCGAGGCAAGAACGGTACCACTTATACCACTGGTCCCCCCTGTACTGTACAGTACAGTACAGTACAGTATTCTACTCTACTCTACTCTACTCTACTCTACTCTACTCTACTCTACTGTACCACTTAAAGCTCACGAACAATCAGTAGAAAGACAATTGTGGTAGCAGCTTTTATTAAATTTGAACCAGATTTCACAAAAATTGCAGAGATTATTCTATTGAGTCGAATTATATAAGAACCTAAGAAAATAAGGAGTCTGCAATAGGCCTGTTGGCCTGTGCATGGCAGCTCCTGTTGGGAGTTACTACCACTCTATCATCCATGAATCTATCTAGCCTCGTTTTAAAACTTTCCAGCGTTCCAGCACTTACTACAAAGTTGCTAACTTGTTCCACTCATCCACCACCCTATTTGTGAACCAGTTCCTTCCCATCTCCCTCCTAAACCTAAACTTATCCAACTTAAATCCGTTGCTACGAGTGATATCCTGCTCTGATATTATATGAACTGTATTTATATCTCCTTTATTGATTCCTTTCACCCACTTAAATACTTCTATCATATCTCCCCACACTCTTCGTCTTTCTAGGGAATGCATGTTTAGTTTCTTTAATCTATCTTGATATGGAAGGTTTCTAAGTCCCGGAATTATTTTCGTCATTCTTCACTGCACCGACTCCAGTGAATTGATATCCATTCTATAATAAGGGCACCAGAACTGAACAGCATAATCGAGGTGCGGTCTGACTAGCGCAAGATATAGTGTAGTTGCAATATGACCTCTGCACTCTTATTACTTACACTTCTAGATATAAAACCTAATACTCTGTTTGCCTTATTTCTAACATTAATGCACTGTTATTGTCACCTCTAGTAGGTTCTGTAATTAGTTGTTTTAAAAAATTGTCCTGTACTGCATCTAGGAAGTCTTCAGATTCATAGTCACCTACAATGTTGATCCAGTCAATATTTCTGAAGTTGAAATCCCCCATAATGCACAGGTTGTTGTATTTTGCTGCCCTACTCATTTCCTGCCATATGGGCTGAGCTGCTTCTTTCCCAAGACTTGGGGGCCTGTAAATCACTCCCATAATTAGTTTTTCTCTTCCTTCCATAACTTCTACCCATACAGACTCGGTTCCTATTTCACCCTTTATTGAATTATTAATACAACATTTTAATGTATCCCTGACGAAGAGTGCGACCCCTCCCCCCTTCCTACCTTCCCTGTCCTTGTGAAAAAGGTTGTACACTTCTATGTGGTACTCTGATAAAAAGTTGTTGCTCGCCAGATTCATCCAAGCTTCGGTGATTGCTATGACGGCTATGTTCTCGGTACATACAACCGCTCTCAGCAAGTCTATTTTATTTGTAACGCTCCTACTGTTTGTATAGTATACATTTAAACCTACCCTTCCCTGGTCCTGTTTTACCCCTTGTCCTGAGTAACCAATTTTACTCCCCAGGACCTGCTTGTTTTTTGACTCCCACTTACCCTGACCTCTCTAATGCACTTTGTAGTAACTATTTCCTCTTATTGTTCAATGTGAAACATAATTTTATGTTGCATTAGTATTTATTACCACAGTATAGTACCATTACTGTACTTGTCTGAATACAGTACTGGTACAGTATATAGTTTAGTTCTATATTTCTTAATGCCCAATTTTAAGTTTTATTTTAATACATATTACATAACTACACTGTGTGATGGCTGATTTGTTGTTTACAATGTGGCTAATTAGTGTATAAAGGTTGTTGACCCCTGGTTTAAACCATCTGAGCTAATGATGCCTGACAGAGTTTTGGGTGGCAATGGGCCGCTACTTTATTATCAACAAACTGGTTATCTCGGTGCTTCTGCCATTCTCGTCTACCTGTCTCTGTGAAGCGGGTATTTTCACGCCGTTGAGCATCAAATAGAAACAGTGCTGTTGGCTTCACGTGGAAGATGGCCTCCACTGTGCCCTGACTGTGACTAAACCACTGATTGGTGACAAAAAACAATGTCATCCAACCCACTGAGATGTAATTAACTTTTTCAATGTTCTTTTTGCATGTGCGTAAATTATACGCACACGCACAGCTTCCATAGTTTTGATTACCCGAGTTGTTGTGGAGTTGAGTTTATTTATGTGAGATTATAATACACAGCCAGACACAACAGAGGTTCACATACACTATCCATGACTTGGAATCTTTTATTGTGTGGCAGCTAGCTACTGGTACTGTATATACCACTAATAATAATAAAGTATCATATCCAACTGCTCATAACAGTGACGTTTAGCATGTTTCATCGAAGAAAGATTTAGACTTGGGCAACGGAAGTTATCACATCTTGTCTGGGGGTCACAGAACAGAAGAGGTTGGGAACCACTGATCTAACTGCTTATGTGTCTGTCTTTCTCTGCCTCTCAGTATATCTATCAATTTATCTATCCACTATCTATCAAGACAGTATCTATCTATCAATACCTGTCTCAGTCAGTTTTATCTATATTTGTCAATCTATTTATCAATAAGTATTTGTCAGTCTGTCAATCTATGTACTGTAAGTCTATCCATATGGCTTACCAATATCTTGTCTATTTATTATTTCGAGAAAGTATATAAAGGTGATTTAAAACTTGCAGCCACAGTGTAATTGACTTTTGAAATATTCTAAATATCTTTAATTATTCCAAAGGTCATTAATTAACACTAATTACCTAAATTATTAAACTGTGAACCCAGATCCTTAATCACCATGTAAAGTTGTTCCTTTGTGTTGTATTATATTATCTTTATTTAGAAGCCGCATCATTTATATAGAGTTTAATAAGTGTTAAAACTGTAGGATTTATTGAGGGATCCCAAGAGAGAGTTTGAACCAACGGGAAAACCTGTTAATCCGTCACCTCTCAATCACCGTAGGTGCCGGATGACTGGGATTCTACCTGTCTGTCTAAACTACTGTATTAATGTACCACTAATTTAGCTGGGAATATTAAGACAAAAATGATAAGCATGGAAGGTTTACAGTCCCAAGAAAGTTGACATAAAACAAACAACTTCTGTACTGAATGACTATTAATTTATGGACATATTTTTATCATAAACTGTTGTGAATATTAAATGTTTTTGTTTGTTTGTTACAGGTGAGTTAACAACCCTTGGGAAATTGAACAGCACCATCACAGCTGGAAATGATCACTGCAGGCTGAGACAAACAGCTGCCATTGTAGAACTTAATTCCAATAAACACTATAGCACCACCACCACCACTCCCACATATGGCAAGGTAAACTAAAGGAGTCATTTGTCTGTCTTTCATTTATATCTTTCTATCTACTTAACTCTTTATGTATGTTTGTGTCTGTCTGTCTTTCATTATATCTATCAATACCAAGTCTGTTTTATCTAGAGTATATCTGTCAATCTCTTTATCAATACAAGTACAGCCACTCCTCTATTTGGGTTAGGGGCCCAAATCCAGGTCGTAAGTCGAAACTGTGAAGATAATACATAGAAAATCTAAAATGGGTGTCTCTTTTTCTTCTCAGCACCACAAAACTCTCACTTTTAAGCTTGCCAGCCATTTTAAAGGGAATTACAAACAAAAATTTTGTCAGTACACAGCGCGATCACTAATGTCGGGACTCGAAAATACGTTTCATTGCACAAGAGTTAGCTCGCTGAGTGAGGGAGCGGAAGATGGTCACAGAGTGTAGGGGGAGCGTTGCTAGGGAATCGGCAGAGGTGGCTTAAATATACCGGGGGATCCAGGGTGGTGGACCTCCCAGTTAGGAGGTTAGGTGAGGTTAGATAATTTTAGGTCATTTGCGAAGGAAACGTCAAAGAAGAAAACTTTCTTAAAATTGTCTAAACCATCGGAAAAACACACTGCTCAACTCGAGAGCCATGTTGGTTGAAAATGTATATTTACCAAAGTAATTGTCAGTCTACCAATCTATATACAGCACAGCACAGTACAGCACAGCACAGTACAACACAGCACATTTATCTATATCTATCAGTATCTATTTTTATATTTTCATCTCTCTACTTCTGTCTATCACCCAATCTATATCTACCTGTCTGTCTGTCTGTCTAAACTACTGTATTAATGTACCACTAATTTAGCTGGGAATATTAAGGCAAAAATAACAAGCATGGAAGGTTAACAGTCCCAAGAAAGTTGACATAAACCAAACTTGCATAAAACAAACAACTTCTGTACTGAATGACTATTAATTTATGGACATATTTTTATCATAAACTGTTGTGAATATTAAATGTTTTTGTTTGTTTGTTACAGATGAGTAACGACTAAACCCTTGAGAAATTAACAACTGGATCATGGAAACACTACTGTTACAGGTATGTCTTTATGTCTGTCTAACTGTCTATATTTATCTATCTGTTTCTCTATATCTTTCTATCAGTCTTTCAATACCTGTATGTCAGTCAGTCTATCTTTTGGTATCTATATCATCTGTCAGACTGTCTTTATCTATACAAGTATCTGTCGTATCTATATCTATGCTGTCAGTAAGAAAGATATTGACAGTGAGTGAGGAAGGTGGGTACACAAGAGGTACAGTGAGTGAGGAAGGTGGGTACACAAGAGGTACAGTGAGTGAGGAAGGTGGGTACACAAGAGGTACAGTGGAGTGGATGGCAGACTGCTGGATGTTGCCAACTGTAAGTGTTGTGTATGTGCAGGTAAATATGTGTCCACAGCAAGACTGAAGAAACTAACACTGAAGATTATCCCTGGACTGTGTGGATGAGTTCTGCTGCCTGGATGATGTGATCAGTGCTGGAGGGGGTGCTGAAGGCTGCTGTGTTGTGAGTCATGGATGATGGATGAGTTCTGCTGCCTGGGTAACGTGATCAGTGCTGGAGGGGGTGCTGAAAGCTGCTGTGTTGTGAGTCATGGATGAGTTCTGCTGCCTGGGTGACAAGATCAGTGCTGGAAAGGGTTCTGTTCATTGTCAAGAGCCAGAAATGGCTGGAGGAAGATTAGGGAACTGTTGTCTTTATTGTCAGCAAGAGGACTTTTCCATCACATGAAAGGAAAAATGTATACAACTAGTGTGAGAAGTGTGGTGTCATATATCCGTGAAAACATGGGCAGTTAAAGAGGATGTCATATGCAGTCTTGAGTGAGCTGAAATGAGAATGGTGAGGTGGATGTGTACTGTGACGCTGAAAGATAAGAATCCCCGTTCAGAGCTAAGAGGACGGCTGGGTATTGAGAGTATCGGCCAAGATTTACGTATAAGTAGACTGAGATCGGGCATGTGGAGAGAATGGATGAGACCAGCTGGGTTAAGTGGTGCATGAGTCTAAATGTGGTGAGGAGGAGAGCCAGTGGTAGGTGGCCAAGAATGACATGGGGAGAGATTGTAAGAAATGATCTTAGAACCTGACAAGACAGACTGCAAGAGGTGGTGTGGAAAATGGCTGTATGATTTGGATGGTGATGATGATTCTGTTCTATCTTTCTGTTAACTTTCATTCTATCTATCTATACTACTGTACTGTATTTCTCACCATATTAAAGGCAACCACTGATATAGCATGAAAGGTTTACTGTATAGTCCCAGAAAAGTTCACAGATTTTACTCTGCAAACCATTTCACACAACCACGTCATTGAATTTCAAGAATGTGTGGATAAGTGTGACGTCTTTATCCCTCTGCGGTCTAATGTATTTCTCCGTAAATGTGAGGAATGAATAAAAATAACAGTAATAAATAAAAGGAAGGAAAAAATACTGCCTTGCCTTTGACAATTGTTTCACTAAAGATGTAGGAGACAGGGGTGTGCTCCCCCCATCGTGGGCTGACTCCTGCCGACGTAATAAATGTTTATTGACCTTTTCATGATCATTTCTTTTAATTTTTTTGCTAACTCTGTGTGAATGATTGTGTGTGGATGTAACAGCTAACAAAAGGTGAATAAAACTACATATATCTACGGAAAACTACGAGTTGAAAAATAACAATGATGCAGCTCTCGGCTTGGCCTGGTAGGGAGAGGCTTAGATCCCTGTAACCATTCCCACCTACCCCCTTCCTCTCCCATGATCCACCACTAACTCCCATGGACGTCAGAAGTTTTTATTTTCTTTATTTTTTGACCTTATGGTAATCATTTTTTTTTACACACTCTGTATGAATGACTGCAGGTGCATATAACAGTAAAAAACAAATGAATAAAATAGTATCTACCTTAAAATAAGAGTTGAAAAATAGCAATAACACAGCTTGGCCTGGTGTATATGTATACAGTTATATATGATGTAGGGTGAATTATGGACTCATTTGTTTGGTTAAAAATATGTCTTATATGGTGGGAAATATGGTGTATCTCTCAGTCTATCTCTCTACATCTTTCTGTCCATCTGTCTACAGTATATCTGTCTTATATGTACTGTAGACAGAACTACTGTACTAACCATGATAGGCAGTTGACAATGCATGTGATTAATACCTGTGATTAATACCTGGAATACAGTATAAATATTTACAGGAAAATGTCCAATATATTCAGCAACTTGACCACTTTAGTGATATAGAACCAAGAAAATATTGTTTATTGTTTTTATACCAAAACACTGGTGATTGTCTTTCAGACATATCAGTTGTATATCTTTAGTGGTGCATCACTGTGTCCTGGGTTCATTCCCCACCCTGGGACAGATGTTACCCTCACTACCAAACATGGCAGGTTTTCTGCAGGTACAATAACTACAGTTTCCTCCCATACTGTACAGTATTAGCAGACCAACTGCCCAAATGGCTCATTGCCGGTAGTTATGATGTTGCTACTTTAACTTATACAAATGTGAATCATAATTTAATGCTGACTCAGCCATAGTGAGCCTCAACATTTATGCTACTGATGAATGAGTCTTGATCACACACAACTATAAGGCGGCCTTCTCTTGCCACTCCATCTTCCTTCTGGCCTTTATTGTGGAAAAGCCAAGAATTATTATTGTGTGAGGATGTAGTGGATCTCTGAGGTGACAATGATAAATATTTTGGTGTTAAGTCGGTGGTGTGAGTCCGGTACTGTGCAGGTCTGACCCTGTTACAGATTACTGCAGGGTCTGAAGACCTTCCTTAAAAGGTTTAACTTGGCAGTATTCAGAAGGTCACAGCTCTGTATCAACACAGACGTCCTCAATGGCACTTGATGGTTTATAACAAAGCCATTTTTTTTATTACTGACTTTTGCCCTTGATGATGTGGTTCAGCCATTATCAGATGCAGGTCATGAATAAATGAGGATGGATTACATTCATCAATCTCAAATGGCAGCCATCACCTGCAGAAGTTAGCTTTAGGGATGGTAGTCATCACCTGCAGAAGTTAGCTTTAGGGATAGCAGCCATCACCTGCAGAAGTTAGCTGTAGGGATGGTAGTCATCACCTGCAGAAGTTAGCTGTAGGGATGGTAGTCATCACCTGCAGAAGTTGGCTGTAGGGATGGTAGGGAGGGATGATCCTTAACCAGTGACTAAGTGATAAAGAAGGTACCTGTAGCTTCTTTATTTGTCCTGGCATCACATGACCCAGACTGTGGCCTCACACACGTGCTCTACTGTTTGTCCTTAAATCCAAGGTTAACCTGAGGTCTGACACAAATAGTTCTGTTCTTTAGTTAAGATTCATGTGTTGTATAATACAGCATCACTTATTGTGTACCTGTACAGTATTTTCCATATACAGAACTGTATACTTGCATTGTCTATATACAGTACATGCTGAACTGTATACCTACCTTGTCTATATACTGTATACCTGTATTGGCTATATACCTGCTGAACTGTATACCTGTATTGGCTATATGCAGGTTGAACCAATTGTAAACTTATATGATAAGTTTACTGAATAAATATATATCTATCTATCTAAAGTGGTCTAGTGTATGTAAATATTTTGAGCTTTTCCCTGATAATGTTGTTTCATCACAGGTGTTACTCTGTTGTAGTGTGAGCCAGTGTGAGGTGGAGGTCAATATTAAACTGAGGTGTTTAGCTGCAGCTCTGGAAGATTGACAGTTTGTCTTCTTTTAATTATAAACCAGAACACCTTTATTTATCACTTTTTATCCAGGTATAATTTGGCTAAATTTATCTTTTAAATTTACCTGGACTTAGAATGCCATCACAATATGATTTGAAATTAGAGAAAAAGTTATATTCAGTTTCATTTTGTGTTTTCAAGGACTTTAGAATTAATATGATTTAGTGAGACTGTTGAACCGTTCCAGTTCTTTACATATCTTTATCATTTATGTTAAAATAAACAATAAATACATTTTATTGTTCATTAAGAAATTAAATCCCATTAGTTCGGTGTCATTTAATGTTGCCGTAAAATCTGTTGACTGACTTATGCGGCAATTATTCTGTTATAGTCATGCCAGTTAATGTTGTTTTAGGAGATATAGTTTATAATGTAGTGATCTCCGTTAAAACAAACCATATTGTTATTTTCTAAATTTGTCGCGCTGGGTTATGAAGGTGTGCATGGTGGGAAAGGCTTTGGAATAAGGAATACTGAAGGTGAAAGAACACTTGAGTTTGGGATGTAACATGTGTTTAAGAATAGGGCAAGTAGGCTGACCATGTAGGCCTAAGGCAGGTGGCACAGAAACCCAGATTGGCTATATTTTTGTCAGGAAATTAGAACAAGTTGCTTGTTAAGGATGCTTGTGTGTGTGTAATAATAAAATAATAATAATACCCACATTCATTCGTGTATCTCGTGACCCAGTTAGTTTCCTCCTTTCTCTCCTGAACCATCTCAGTTTAGCCTCCAGGTACTGTACTTCTGTGTGTGTGTGTGTGTGTGTGACATGTTACTTAAAGATGGAGGGAGAGGAAGAAGGTGGATGTTCCAAGAAGGAGAGTGTGGGAATTGTGAAGGAACTGAATGTAAAGGAAACATTTTCTTGTGAGTTGAGAGGCTAGGAAACAGCCAGTGAGGGGCAGTGTACCAAGACGCTGGACCATAATAAAAGATGTTCCGTTGAGTGTGGTTGATGGCGGGCATGATGAAGTGGAGAGAGAGATAAAAAGAGAAAAGAAGATTGTGTGAGACGTGGAAGATGGTTGGCAACAGAGAGAAGTACAGTACCTGGAGGCTAAACTGAGATGGTTCAGGAGAGAAAGGAGGAAACTAACTGGGTCAAGAGATACACGAATGAATGTGGGTAGTTAGAGGTAGGCAAAGAATAACATGAGGAGAGGTTGTGGAGAAATGTTGGTACTACGATAGTAACTGAGTATGTTTGTTGGTTGGAATAATGAGGAACAATCTGAATAAACTGAACAGAAAATGAAAGAATAATTGAACACAAAAAATGAAAAATGGTCGAATAATGTCAAAATACTGTAATCGGAACTCAGTTAATTCGTATTTTCAGTAATTCGAGTGACCCGGAGTCTCTATTTGTCGAGTCAATGAGGGTATAGTGCAGTTTATGGTCCACAGAATTAGTGAAAGTATAAATTAACGGAGTTCCGATTATTTTGACATTAATCGACAATTTCTCATTTTTTTTTGTTCAATTATTCATTCATTTTCTGTTTAATTTGTTCAGATTGTTCCTCATTATCCCAACCAACAAACATACTCAGTTACCATGCCTTGACTGCCACATTATTTATTTATTACGGTATTATTTACTTTATTATTGTAAGTATATTTTATACATACAGTACTGTATTTATATTTGTACAATAATTATAAGTTGAATATTGTATGTGGCAGCCAAGGCAACTTTCGAACCACTCAGCTATTTCAGATTCACTCCAAATTCAAATCGTTTAATTCATTTTTTGAAAACATACGAATTAAGCCGAAGTCCGAATTACAACTATCTGATTTAACGAGGGTAGAGTGTATAGTGTAAATACCCCAGTAGACTGCATATTATAGTAGCAACAAAACTTCAGAATTTTTGTGATGTATTAAATCTGATTATGCCATACATTTTTGTCTTTATCTAGATGTGCTTAACATTAATATTTCTAAGTCCAAAAATTCATTGTTGAAAATATTTGAAGTCCAAAAATTCAGCATTAAAAATATTCTAAGTCCAAAAATTCAGCATTAAAAATATTCTAAGTCCAAAAATTCATGGTTAAAAATATTTTAAGTCCAAAAATTCAGCATTAGAAATATTTTAAGTCCAAAAATTCAGTGTTAAAAATATTTTAAGTCCAAAAATTCAGCATTAGAAATATTTTAAGTCCAAAAATTCATGGTTAAAAATATTCTAAGTCCAAAAATTCAGCATTAAAAATATATTAGTCCAAAATTCACAATTAAAAATATTCTAAGTCCAAAAATGACCAAAATTTTACCTGGGCAAAATTTGAGTAATAATAAATTGTCTAGTTTTAGGGGTAACAAATTTCTTACCATTCTTAAGAGCTCCAGCTTGGCATCTCTGTGTTTATGTTTATTATAAGGCATAATGGACTACCTGGACGTGGGGAGAGTAACTCAGTGGGCGCCTACTGAGTATTCTCCCCACGTCCAGGTAGTCCATTATGCTTGTATTTTTTTATAATATTGGTGAATGATAATTTGAAGAGGTTTTTCTCCGGAGACTCTTCCGATTATCTTTTACCAAATTTTTTCAACGTTAGTCCTGGCAATGGCAAACTCAAAAAACACTTAAGGGTAAAAAAATGGCATTTTTTTCGGCCATTTTTGGCTAAAAAATGGCTATTTTTTCATAAAAAATGGTATTTTTTCACATTTTTAGCTATTTTTCCATATTTTTAGCTATTTTTTTCATATTTATAGCTAGTTTTTTTTTATATTTATAGCTATTTTTTCATATTTATATATATATTTTTTTTTATTTGTTATATTTATTTGTATTATATGTGTATAGTACATTTGTTTTTCATTTGTATATTATTTTTGCATTTCATTTGTATATTATATTTGTATATAGATAATTTTTCAGATGCTATATGAAAGTATTTTGCTTCAAAATGTGAAGCTGAACTTTCCTGTAAAAGTTGTAAAGAAAAGGTTAATGAATACTGGTAATGACATTTAGACATTTATTAATGGAAACAATGGTATAATAAATTTTTCTTTAGTAGGGCAGCAGTGGCCAGCACATGGCCATCCAGGGTAGCAGCAGCAGTGGCCAGCACATGGCAGTCTAGGGTAGCAGCAGCAGTGGCCAGCCCAGGACAGTGTCCAGGGCAGCAGCAGACAGTCCAGGATGGCAGCAGCAGTGGCCAGCCCATGACAAGACAGGACAGTGTCTAGGGCAGCAGTGGCCAAGACAGGACAGTGTCCAGGGCAGCAGCAGCAGCAGGCACTCCAGAACAGCAGCACCAGGGGCCAGCCTAGGACAGGAGTGTCCAGGGCAGCAGCAGGCAGTCCAGGGGGCCGGCAGCAGCAGTAGTGGCCAGGACATGACAGTGACCAGGGCGGCGGCATCAGCAGGCAGTCAGTCCAGGGCGGTGGCAGCAGCAGGCAGTCAGTCAGTCAGTCCAGGGCGGCGGCAGCAGCAGTCAGTCAGTCCAGGGCCGTGGCAGCAGGCAGGCAGGCAGTCAGTCCAGGGGCGTGCAGCAGGCAGGCAGTCAGTCAGGGCAGTGCAGCAGCAGCAGGCAGTCAGCAGGCAGTGGCAGCAGCAGGCAGTCAGTCCAGGGCAGTGGCAGCAGCAGGCAGGCAGTCAGTCCAGGGCAGTGGCAGCAGCAGGCAGTCAGTCCAGCTTAGTGGTAACCACTCACCACAAAGTCCAAAATAATATTTCTGTACAAAATAGAAAGTAAAATTAATAATCACACTTATTTAACCAGAAAATTATTTTAAATATATTAATGACAATGTGCTGTAGTGTTTTAGACAATTTAACAAATTACTTAATATAAAAATTTTAATTTGGTAATTGAAATCCTTCACCTAATGAACCTTGATAACATACTGCCAAGTGTTCAGGGAATATTATCAGTAACTGTACAGCAACTTAACCTCACCATGTATATTGTACCTGTTTAGTTTAACCATAAGAGTTATTGAGTTATAACTACAATAAACCTGTATGTCTGGTTCAGAGTTTTGCTAATATATTTAAAATGTTTTGTCTTTCAATGACTGCTTTAGGAATTATTGATTTGTCAACAAATTAATTTTAACTAAATTCACGTCAATGAATATCTTGTGTTGGTCAGCCACAGGTCTCGTTATAATTATTCATAATTCTACAACGGTCCAGTACAGTACAGTATATTAAAAGTGAATGTTGTTAAGATTAATTTATTATTTCTGAAGTGTACACATCTTGTAGTAACTAAACATGTACTTATACACAAATCCATCTACGTACTACTGAATTAATTCAGAAAGTCGAGCATTAACACTAGTAAAAGTTAATTTACTCGTGTTAGTTTTAAATTTTATGTATATATTGTTTCTTAAAGTTTTAAGAAGTTAAGAGTAAAGTCAAGTTATAACCAATAAAAGGTTTAAAGCAAGATATTTTAAAACTAATTTATCCTAATGCAGTATTATTACATGACCCTAAACTGAAGGTTTTATCCTCTATAGAAGTACCACATTAATCCACTTTATCTTGTACAGTAATTGAAGAACATTAGTGATGCACCGTTAATAACCAGATTTAAAACTTCCCAATAATCTGCCGCCAGATTTAAAACAGATTTAGAGTTAATGCTATAATTTAGGTAAATTTTATCATGCAGGTAAAACAGTCAAGTCACTATTTAGTCTCACCACCAAAGCCAGACTATAAACAAAGCAAAATATCAGCCAAATAACAGTATTTAAATAAAGCAATATACAGTGTACTCTGGTGGTAAAGAACACGTCCACAAATACATCAACTCTAGAAATAGCCTTACGGAATTCTTGAAGCTGCAATATTAGGAGCAGCTGGGTTTTAAATTTCATCATTATTGCGGTGTTTAAGTCTACCCGGCACAACACGCAGTAATTATAAACATAACTCGCTAATCAAGTGGTCAACTACTTGTAGGTAAATAATTTAAAGGCTGTTGGAAGCTGCAACCATCCAGGAAGAATACCATCTACATTAAATATTAACTATGGTATAATAAAAAGTCCGGACTAATGTTATAACTCCAATAGAGACTTTATAATGTTTAAGACTTATTTTGGGGCATTTAATCATTATTTACTCATTCACTAATAAAATTAATCTTTAAAGGGAGTCGTTTATCATTGACTAATGTTATCAAGAACTCCTCTCCTGCCTCAACGACCTACTGAATGTCGTTCATTATAGGTTAATACTGTACCAGGTCGTTTTTCATTCTAATTTTAATAATATTGGTAAATAAAATATTTAATGTACTTTAAAAGTGCTACAATATACAAAATAATCTTCGTCAGGTACTTGCCTTACCAGAGTATTTTTCTCAATAAATAAAAGCTACTTAGTCTGGCCTGATAATTTATTCATTACCATATAGTGAAGTGCTGTAGACGGACCTGCACAGAGGACACTGCCATGTTATCCCACACAACTACAAGACAATGATCAGCGACCGAGTGACACGACCGTAAGTAGTGAACAGACTATAACTGGTTTCCGTAATTACTGTATTCTGCCGGTAATACAAATTTTACCGAGTAATTTCTTCAACCAAAACAGACGGCAAAATGGCATCGGCTAATACTTTGTTTACCAATACTGATTATTCCACAAAATATTGATATTTAACTTATATTAATTGGTGCATCCCTAATATTGTACTGTACTAATACTTTGATATACTGTATATACTTAAGAGTTAACTAGACACGGCAGTTCACGAGTCACAATTACTGTACTGTACTTTGTCGAGAGTTTAGTGAAGAAACCACAATGATTTACCCTGGACTGGTGCAGTGTGGTGCAGGTCCGTGCAGCAAGAGGCGTTCACCAGAAATCTCTCCGGGTCATTTGTTGGATCCTCCATCTTTAAGTCATCATCCTGGAATGAATAATTTTAACAACTCTCTACAAATTAAATAGTTTACCTACAGTACATTACAGGTATCCCCCAATACACAGAACATATGCCTCATAGTTTCAACAAATGTGTACACTACACAGAAGAAAATAATGAATAAATCCCACTTTGATGCCACTTATCTGTATATGAAAGTAAAGATTCTCCCTCACAGGAACATAAACCCAATAATATATAAATTACTTCCACTTAATGAACACACTACCATGAATAAAACTTGTATATTAAGGGACACCTGTCAACTAGTTTACTGAATAAATGAAGCACAACTTAAGTGGAGAACAACGCAGAGTTACACAACCTTATTTTTACCACAGCTCTTTAACTATTGGTGATATCACTGATAAACTTGAATACAGTATTACAAGTACTATGGAAGCTTGGATACAGTGTACAGTATTACAAGTATTATGTAGTTATCCCCCGATTATACTGGTTAACTGCCCCCCACAATGTTTTATAGTACTGTACTTTATTGATGAACATTATGCAAGGTATCTGTTAGATAAAGAAAATGTTTATTACATTCAAGAGCTGTTGGTAAGAGTAAGGCAAAGTAACATTCAACATTTTCTCCTCAATTTCTTGTAAGAATGCAGCAACATTAATAAACAAAAAGGCAAATTAATCAAAATTTAGTTAAAATTTAAAGAAACTAACATTTACAATTATGAGTTAGATTCACCCAATGACTGTCTACAAACATCAACAGGCCGTCAACCCAGAGCATTAATTTACAATTCTTTACAACTACATGAATGTTCCTAGTAAAGTTTAATAAATATCATTAAAAAAATCCACCATTTATAACAGAGGTAAACCACAATCTTCACTAGGTATAAAATTTATATTGAATACGGGTGTAGTTACGTGTAATGGGAACAACGTATTGGACAAATTGAGAACTAGATGCAGGCAAGTTAATAATGCCAAGGTTGATGCCAGTTGTTTGGCTAACTTAAGGATCCTGTTACTGTACAGGACCTTAGAGCCGGCCAGGTGAAGGTACTTGTTGGGGGAAGAAAGATTTTGAATATAAATGGTGGAAAATTAAACCAAAGGCAAGAGACTTAATCCTTGTTGGATGTATTTATAGATCACAGAACTGAAGTTTATTAAGCCAAACCAGTTTAAACGCATTAATACTGTACACAGCATTATGGGCTACTGGTGACACTTGACTGGAGGAATGAAATTACAGAAACAGGAATGCAGATACTGCTGAATATCACAGCCAGTAAACCGTTTGATAAAATATACTGTATACTCCAGACCAAACACACTGTCTCAAGGAATACAAGTCCATTCAGATTGTAGAAACACTGAGCAAGACAGCCAGTCCGATTCCAAATGAAGTCAAGTCAAAGCCCCAAAAGCTTTCAATGGGCACATCAGACCCCAGACTAAGACAATGTTACACACTCGGATCAGGGCAAGACGAGAGGCGTTAAATAGTGTTCACTAGAGGATGTAAACCTCCCATGTGTTTGAGGAGTGACAACACTGACATGTTCTCAGTCAAGTATTAAACAAATTATCAAAACTAAATTTGATAAAATGGCCGTTTCGGTCAATATGCCCCAGTAGTTTATCCAGTGTATTTTAGTGTGACAATCTAATTTGACCTTTAATTCCGGGGAAGTAACGGTCTGTTATCCCCCAAAAGTATGGAAAACTTCAAGATTCATATCTGCCATTATTCTGGCCCCTGGTTGAGATGGGGTTATAAATACTCCCAATAAGGAGATGTAAAGGTTGGGATGGTTAAAACAGTCGGCCGTGTATTGGTCCAAACTGCACTAATACCATAAAGGTACATAGAGCCCTGATGGCGAGCTTCAGGTGTTGAAGAGTTGTATAATGAGCTTCCTGACCTCATTAAATCTTGTAGTACAGAAGCATAAACAAAACGTTCCCATATGACTGGAAAATGACATACACAAGTCCTATACTGAAACAGACGACGTATGAATAACAACAGTACTGTGAATGTTCAGCATATTGTGTAAAGTAAAGCCAATTGGTTTATGCCATTGTCCAGCTTATAGACAGGCAAGAGGCGACTTAATACAAGTTTATAAACATGTAATAGGTCATTACTTAGTCTGGTGTTCACAACTGGCAGACGTCCACACCCCACTAGAGGCTACAGCTTATGGTTGAAGTACAAGTCCAGAAAACTTTAATGATTTTTTTAGCGAGTTGTGAACAATGTTGGAACAATCTGTTGTGACGGCACCGAGTGAGCTGTTTTGTGACTACAGTACAGTACTTGCCAACAGTGAGTAACATAGCTAGTACATGCCCAGTACTTGCCAACTGTAACAGCCAGTTCAGGCCCAGTACTTGCCAACAACGTCTAGATGCGTTCGACCGCCTCTAACCCCAGTGTCAAATTTTAAAGTGAAGTAGACTTGACATAACACTTCAGAACAAACTTTCTAACCTCAGTCAATAAGGTGACCCACGCTGACGACCATTGAGGCAGCAAACTGGTCTTCAGCACGGCAGTTACACAACCAATTGGATCCATCATCTGTAAAGAAATGAAAAAGCTTATGAGGAACAAATAAGTATTAACGAAGTCTTTACGGTGACCAAAACTAAACCATATTTCATTAATTTGAATAAAAGCACAAGCCAAAAACAGTAAAGTATTCTCTGTAGTAACTAGTCAATGTGATAGTTAACGACCATTAACCTATGCTTGTTCATTAACTCGACATTGTGTATCTTCAATATTATTTAAGCTTGTTTAAATTATTTCCTTTTAAAATAAATCACTTAGTACAAAATCGAATAATAAATTTAACCACTGAAATAAATTGAAAATAAAACAGACTATACCTTTAAAGAACAGCGTCTGTCAGGTGAGAGAGACGACCGGCAGCACTTCCCCCTCTGTGACTCTATGAGCACTGCTCCCACAATCACTGCTCTATATAACCTGTCTTCCCGCCAAAGCCTTGTCCGAACGAGGAATCCTAACAAAATAAATACAACCTCAATCGTATATACAAATTTTAATACACATTTTAAGGTAAATTTTGGTGTAAATTAATTTATATCGTAATAGAGAAAAAATATCAATCAGGAAAACTTTACGGAAAGATAAATACAAAGATAAATAGGTATAATATAATCCAAATTCTTCAGCTTCGGAGACAGTCACATGTTGACCATTCAGGGCTGCCAACATTACCGATTTATGCAACTATATCGTACCTTAATGGGTAGTTATCGCTGATTGGTAATAGATAGAAAGATAGATAGATAGATACATACATACATACATACATACATACATACATGCATACACAGATAGATACACAGGCCGGTCAGTGGTGAAGAAGATAGAGAAGTAATTTTAAACAGACAATAAAAAAAGTAAAACAGTTACCCATAAAAAATACGTTTTCTCTTATGACGTCATCAAAGAAAACAAACGTAAATAAACAGTGACGAGAATGAGATTAAAGACAAGACTAATTTAAATGACTTTGAATGAGATTAAAAGCGGAATTAAATGACTTTGAATGAGATTAAAGGCAGGATTAAATGACTTTGAATGAGATTAAAGACAAGACAAATTTAAATGACTTTGAATGAGATTAAAAGCGGGATTAAATGACTTTGAATGAGATTAAAGGCGGGATTAAATGACTTTGAATGAGATTAAAGACAAGACTAATTTAAATGACTTTGAATGAGATTAAAAGTGATTAAATGACTTTGAATGAGATTAAAAGTGATTAAATAACTTTGAGTGAGATTAAAACTATTACTATAGCATAAATTAGAATAATAACAATAACAATAATTAAACTATGGGTTATTTGTGCGGGAAACATTATAGAAATGCCATAGAAACACCAACACAGCCCAACACAAGGAGTGCCAGAGTGTTCCAGCAAGTCGAAGGAGTGCCAGAGTGTTCCAGGGTGTCCCAGGGAGTGCCAGAGTGTTCCAGCAAGTCCGAAGGAGTGCCAAAATGTCCCAGGGAGTGCCAGAGTGTTCCAGCGTGTCCCAGGCAGTGCCAGTGTTTTCCAGCGTGTCCCAGGGAGTGCCAGTGTTCCACCATGTCCCAGGGAGTGCCAGAGTGTTCCAGCAAATCCCAAGGAGTGCCAGAATGTCCCAGGGAGTGCCAGAGTGCTCCAGCGTGTCCCAGGGAGTGCCAGAGTGTTCCAGCATGTCCCTGGGAGTGCCAGAGTGTTTCAGCGTGTCCAAGGGAGTGCCAGAGTGTCCCAGGAAGTGCCATAGTGTTCAAGCTTGTCCCAGGAGTGCCAGAGTGTTCCAGGAGTGCCAGCGTGTTCTAGGAGTGCCAGAGTTCCAGGGAGTGCCAGAGTGTTCCAGGAGTGCCAGAATGTGCCAAAGTGTACATCCAGAGGTGCCAGAGTGTGCCAGGGAGTGCCAAAGTGTGCCAGGGGTGCCAGAGTATGACCAAGGAGTGCCAGAGAGTACCAGGAGTCAGAGGTGTACAAGCAGTGCCAGAGTGTACCAGGCAGTGCCAAAGTGTGCCAGGGAGTGCCAGAGATACCAAGGAGTCCAGAGAGTACCAGGGAGTGCCAGAGTGTACCAGGCAGTGCCAGAGTGTCCCAGGGAGTGCCAGAGTGCACCAGGGAGTGCCAGAGTGTTCCAGGAGTGCCAGGTGTGCCAGAGTGTCCAAGGGTGCCAGAGTGTGCCAGAGTGTGCCAGGAGTGCCAGAGAGTGTTCCAGAGTGTACCAGGGAGTGCCAGAGTGTTCCAGAGTGTACCAGGCAGTGCCATAATGTTCCAAGAGTGCCAGAGTGTGACAGAGAGGAACCAGGAGTGCCAGAGTGTTCCAGAGTGTGCCAGGGAGTGCCAGGTCTTCCAGAGTGTACCAGGCAGTGCCAAAATGTTTCAGAGAGTGCCAGAGTGTGACAAGTGTACCAGGGAGTGCCAGAGTGTGCCAGAATGTACCAGGAGTGCCAGAGTGTGACAGGGGTACCAGGAGGCAGTGCCAGAGTGTCCAGGCGAGTGCCAGGAGTGCCCAGGAGTGCCAGAGTGTACCAGAGTGTGGCAGGAGTGCCAGAGTACCAGGGAGTGCCAGAGTGTACCAGGCAGTGCCAGAGTGCCCAGGGGTGCCAGTGAGCCAGAGTGCACCAGGAGTGCCAGAGTGTACCAGGAGTGAGCAAGGAGTGCCAGAGTGTGCCAGAATGAACCAGGAGTGCCAGAGTGTGACAGAGTGTACCAGGAGTGCCAGAGTGTGCCAGAGTGTCCCAGTGAGTGCCAGAGTGCACCAGGGAGCGAGTGTGCCAGAGTGTGCAGGAGTGCCAGAGTGTACCAGGAGTGCCAGAGTGTACCAGGCAGTGCCAGAGTGCCCAGCGTGTCCCAGTGAGTGCCAGAGTGCACCAGGGAGTGCCAGAGTGTACCAGGAGTGCCAGAGGTACAAGATAGTGCCAGAGTGTTCCAGGGAGTGCCAGAGTGTTCCAGGGAGGCAGAGAGCCTAGGGAGTGCCAGAATGTGCCAGAGTGTACCAGGGAGTGCCAGAATGTCCCAGGGAGTGCCAGAGTGCTCAGCGTGTTCCAGGGAGTGCCAGAGTGCCCAGCATGTCCCTGGAAGTGCCAGAGTGTTCAGCGTGTCCAAAGGAGTGCCAGAGTGTCCCAGGAAGTGCCATATGTTCAAGCTTGTCCCAGGGAGTGCCAGAGTGTTCTAGGGAGTGCCAGAGTGTTCCAGGGAGTACTAGTGTACCAGGAAGTGCCAAGAATGTGCAAGTATACCAGGGGTGCCAGAGCCAGAGTGTACCAGGAGTGCCAAAGTGTGCCAGGGAGTGCAAGAGTATACCAAGGAGTGCCAGAGTGTGCCAGGGAGTGCCAGAGTGTACCAGGGAGTGCCAGAGTGTGCCAGGAGTGCCAGAGTGTACAACAAGTGCTGGAGTGTTCCAGGGAGTGCCAGAGTGTCCCAGGAAGTGCCATAGTGTTCAAGCTTGTCCCAGGGAGTGCCAGAGTGTTCCAGGAGTGCCAGCGTGTTCTAGGAGTGCCAGAGTGTTCCAGGGAGTGCCAGAATGTGCCAATGTACCAGGAGTGCCAGAGGGCCAAAGTGTGCCAGGGAGTGCCAGAGTATACCAAGGAGTGCCAGAGAGTACCAGGGAGTGCCAGAGTGTACCAGGCAGTGCCAGAGTGTACCAGGCAGTGCCAGAGTGTCCCAGGAGTGCCAGAGTGCACCAGGGAGTGCCAGAGTGTACCAGAGTGTACCAGGGAGTGCCAGAGTGACAGAGTGTACCAGGGAGTGCCAGTGTGTGCCAGAGTGTATCAGGGAGTGCCAGAGTAACCCAGCGTGTCCCAGGGAGTGCCAGAGTGTTCCAGCATGTCCTGGGAGTGCCAGAGTGCTCACAAGTGTCCGCGGAGTGCCAGAGTGTCCCAGGAAGTGCCATAGTGTTCAAGCTTGTCCCAGGGAGTGCCAGAGTGTTCCAGGAGTGCCAGCGTGTTCCTAGGAGTGCCAGAGTGTTCCAGGAGTGCCAAAATGTGCCAAAGTGTACCAGGGAGTGCCAGAGTGTGCCAGAGTGTACCAGGGAGTGCCAAAGTGCCAGGGAGTGCCAGAGTATACCAAGGAGTGCCAGAGTACCAAGGAGTGCCAGAGGTACCAGGGAGTGCCAGAGTGTTCCAGGGTGTGCCAGAGTGTACCAGGGAGAGCCAGAGGTTCCAGAGAGTGCCAGAGGTACCAGGGAGTGCTAGTAGTTAACAGGGAGTACAAGAGTGTACCAGGGTGTGCCAGAGTGTCCCAGGAGCCAGAGTGTACCAGGAGTGCCAGAGTGTACCAGGAGTACCAGAGTGTATAAGGGAGTGTCAGAGTGTCCCAGAGTGTACCAGGGAGTGCCAGAGTGTTCCAGGGAGTTCCAGAATGTACCTGGGAGTGAGAGGTACCAGGGAGTGCCAGAGTGTTCCAGAATGTACCAGGGATTGCCAGAGTGTTCCAGGAGTGCCAGAGTGTACCAGGGAGTGCCAGAGCATACCAGGGAGTGCTAGAGTGCCAGAGGTACCAGGAGTGCCAGAGTGTACCAGTGAGTTCCAGAGGTACCAGAAATGCCAGAGTGTACCAGGAACGCCAGAGGTACCAGGAAGTGCCAGAGTGTAACAGGAAGTGCCTGAGTGCACCAGGGAGTGCCAGAGTGTACCAGGAAATGTCACATAAAAATAGAGTGCGAGAGTGTAACAGGGAGTGCCAGAGTGTACCAGGAAGTCCAGAGTGTGTCAAGGGAGTGCCAATTGTACGGGAATGCCAGAATGTACTATGAAGTGCCAGAGTGTACCAGGGAGGTCCAGAGGTACCAAGGAGGCCAGAGTGTACCAGGAAGTGCCAGAGTGTATGAAGGAGTGCCAGAGTGTACCAGGAATGACAGGTACCAAGGGAGTGCCAGAGTGTTCCAAGGAGGCCAGAGGTAACAGGAGTGCCAGAGTGTAACAGGGAGCAGAGTGTAATAGGAGTGCCAGAGAGTAACAGGGAGTGCCAGAGTGTGCCAGAGTTTACCAGGATGCCAGAGTGTTCCAGGAGTGCCACAGTGTACTCCAGGGAGAGCCGAGGTTCATAGTGTACTATTGAGGCCAGAGTGTCCCAGGGAGTGCCACAGTGTACCAGGAGAGCCAGAGTGTGCCAGAGGTACCAGGGAGTGCCAGAGGTCCCAGGGAGTGCCAGAGTGTACAAGGAGTGCCAGGCGTTCCAGGAGTCCAGAGTGTACCTGGAGGAAAAGTGTACCAGGGAGTGCCAGAGTGTACCCGGGAGTGTCAGATTGTACCGAAGAGTGCCAGAGTGCTATAGGGAGTGCCAGAGTGTTCCAGGAGTGCCAGAGTGTACCAGGGAGTACCAGAGTGCACCAGGGAGTGCCAGAGGTTTCAGGGAGGCCAGAGTATCCCAGGGAGGCCAGAGTGTGCCAGGGAGTGCCAGTTGTACCAGAGGTAACAGAAAGTGCCAGAGTGTACCATGGAGCCAG